CCCCTTAGTACTGATGGGTAGTTTGTTCTGATGTTCTTTCTCAGCAGTCACCGAGGCCAGGGGTATCCACAACTGATTGGCCAGGACTGGGTCAGACGACTCCTGGGACCAGGGCGAGGCCCAGGAAAATCAGGGCTGTTATGTTGGACACACAGGAGGGGTTTCAGTGTGTGGGTTCCCGAACCCCAGGGTTTGTGAAGAATTGTTACTCGAGGAGCTCTGAGCCTCCGTGGGATGGTAAAAGCACTGGGACCACTCTGTCTCATCAGGGAGCAGGCCGGTTTTGTGTTTAGCTTTTAACACATCTTGGGTGAATAGGCGGGTTGGTGGCTGGATGTCAGCCAGTCATGAATCATCATCCCAGGTGACACAGCCTATTCGTAGAGGGTAACGCTGATCTCAAATCATGTCTCTTGGGTCCAGTACCCTTTGATGGCAACTCCCTTGACCAGGCTGGTGCTCCCTGAATCACCCAAGGAGCCTCATTCACGCTTTGGTAAAAGCCAGATTGGATCAGGCCATGCCTCTGCTTAAAAATCCACTGTGATATTTTGACACAATTAAAAAACAAACAAACAATCCCACTAATATTCCATCCTCCCTACCTCACTCCCATTTTTTTCTCCCTTAGAGGCAGTTCTGTAGATCAACATATTTTAGCTGATTATTTAGGTATTTACTTCTGTGATTCTAAGTAGTAAGGTTTTGTGTGGCTACCTCTTGATTTTCCAGGGTCAGTTATTATCTGCGATATCCCATTATGGAAGGTGAGATTTCACCCTCTTTCCTCCCTCTGTCCCTGCCACACACACTCTTTTCTTACTCCCTTTCCTCTCAGTGGAATTATTGTGTAGTCAGTATCCGGTGTTTACATTATTGCAGCTATTGACAATGGAGCCATCTAGTCAAGTACGATTACTTTTACTTTTTGTGGTAGAATGAACTCTTCAGTCATTTCTGACAAAGATACCTGGAAAATAAATTGAGACTTGCTTTAAAAAAACAACCCCGCTGTTTCCCCATTGTGCGTGGGATAAAGTTCAGATGCTTTAATGGCACGCATGCCCTTCCTTGCTTCAAACGCCACCAGACCTCCTACCTGCCACTCTTTGTTCCTGCGAGTCCTTCAGTCACTATTGCCCCTCCTTCTCCACCTGGTGAAATGCCCCTTTCTTCAAGGTCTGACTGAGACGGCCTTTCTTTGGGTGGCCTTCCCAGTTGTACGTCTGTTGCACAGTGTGTATACTGGGGTCTTGTACTTATCACATTACATGGCACTCACTTACTTACTGCTTGAGTTGAAATCTTGGCTCTGCCTTTTCCCAGCTGTGTGACTTCAGTTACCTAGTCTCTCTGTGCCTCAGTTTCTCTCTGTGTAAAATGTGAGTGATAACAATAGCACCTGCCTGATAAGGTTGTTAGTGACTACACAAATTGATGGATTTGAGCGTTCATCATGATGTCTGTCACTTAGTGAATTGTCCATCTGTGCTATGCATCGCTCTGTCTCACAAAGGCAGAGTTGGTGGGTTATGTTCATTAGTGACCAGAATAGCTCTTGGCAAATCAAGTCTCCAGGAGTTGGCAGGGAGCCCGACTGCGTGAAGCAGCCCGGGTGTGAGTCAGGCCCAGGTGGGGACTGGAAAGGGCAGGATCTCTAAGAAGTGGGCATCTTTACACCACCTCTAGCCAGTGCTTGCCAAATTACCTGATTTTTTTTTAAATGAGAAATTTAAGAATCCACATTTAAAAAAAAAAACAAGGATTTTCCTGACATTTGGTAGACGGCATACAGGCCAACGGCCCCTAGGCCCAGAGCGATGGTGCACTGCGGCCTGCCCTGGGTCACGCGCCAGCTGCTCGGACGCTCAGGGTTCTCGCTCGTGGTCTGGACGTGGGCAGCGCTGCTGCTGATTCCCACCAGGGCGGGGACAGCAGGGGTTCAGTCAGGCTTGTGAACACATTTGCAAAGCAGGTCACTGACACAGGTCACTAGGTCTCTATGTCAGCTGCCCCTGCCCCAGGGAGACCCCCTTGGTGCTCTTTGATAGGACCGTGGGCCTCTTCATGCCAGGGGAGAAATTGTGTACATTTATGGAGCACCTTCTATGTGCCCAGGAACTGCTGGGTGTTTAACATTTGCCACCTTTATTCCATCTAACAGCTTCCACCATGACATGGAAAGTAACTATTTTATAGGTAATAAAAATGGTATGTAAAGAACGTACCTGATTAGGGCTGCACAGAAAGAGGTTTGGCCAGAATTGGATGCATCTCTGATAAAAATGCCAGGCATTAGGCAACATGCTACCTCCCATACACTGGACTGACGTCAGGTCCAGCAGAACCTCGGGGGGTGCTTTGCTGGTCCCTGGGCTGCCCTAGTGCATCTGTAGCATTTGCTCAGAAGCGCAAGTCTCCTCTTGTTCCCTGTCTTCAGAAAAGCTGTATTAGGTGACTGTAGGCCTGGCCAGATAGGAGAGAGGCAGAGAAAATCATGATGATGACACAGGACTGGGAGAAGGGACCAAGGCCTGTGTCCAAGTGTCTGGTATTGTTACCGAACAAAAGGACCCGTGGGGGGGGGATGCCCAGATGCTGTTACAGAAACGACACCCTCCTTCCCCGGGACCCCTCGGTTGTGGGTCCTTTGCCCCGCCGCCCTTGGAATTATGGCTCTGAATGGCAGAGTTTGTGAAAAGGAAAAGGAACTACTTATTCAAAAGTTATACAGGTTTGATTAATGGCTAAATGTCACCCTTAAACCTCAAAATCCCTTCTAAAACAACCACCAGCACACACGCCGTGCTGCCTTCCCCCCTTTGCCCAGTGAGGCCAGTCAGGCCAGTCAGGGTACCGTCCTTCAGAAGAAAGAACAGAGGTCCGGGGCTGGGCTGGGCAGGCCTCTCATGGGTCTCAGCACCATCCGCTGCCTCGCCGCGATCTCCAGCTCTTAATCCATAACCATGTGGCACCTTCTCCTGGTCCACTAGCAAGAGTCCTTTCTCCCCTCTTTCTTCCCAGTGGTCTTCACACTGTTCCCCAGAGTCTGTGTCCCTTTGTCTCTCCTGCAGGCCCCTGTCTCTCCTCTTTTCTCGCTCCCTCTCACATTCTGTATTAAGTCTTTTAAACCTTCCTGATTAGCTTTGGTGATACGCCAAATAATCCTCTTTGCAAAGGAGGAACGAAGCTATCCTGTTATTGACATGCAAACTTGACTTCTCAATGGCCCTGCTCAAGGCTCCCATCCCCCATGACGGCCCGCCCTGGGGTGGGGAATATATTTTTCTTGGACACCCCAATCTCTGGACCCCGTTATAAATACTTTGCGGGGGGCCTGGCTGTGCCCTGTTACAGTATGACATGACAGAGGGGAATGAAATGAGAAGTGATCAGAGAGTCTTGTGTCTCCCATGGGCCATCCCATTGGACCAAGAGGCTCCTACCACTTGATATTTATAAATTGTTTTCAGATGGTTACTTGCCAAGGCAGGCACTTTGCAGCCAAGGAACCTCGTGTAAAATTTTACCGGCGAGTGGCTGTTAGGTTTTGGGACAAGCCCCATGGCTTGTGATCAAGTGTTGTTCCTCCTCTTCTGAGTATCCACTTCCCCTTTCTCAAGAGTGTGCGTGTGCGTGCGTGCGCACACGTACGTACCCCTCCCTCCCAAGGTGTGGCTGCGTCAGGCAAACTCCCGAGGGAAAAGGAGTCACGGGCCTGTGACCTGCCTGGCCCTCCAGTATGCCCTAGACATGGGACTAAATTGCTTAAACTTTTTTTCCTTCTTGTCATGTCCACAGGTCTGGTTTCTTGACTTTCACAATGTAATTAAGACTGGCATAGCCCATCTGACTGTTCCTCCTTTCTAAACTCCCTGTCTTTCTCTTTTTAAAATCCTCACCTGAGGGTAAGTTTACTATTTTTAGAGATAGAGATGGTGGGGGGTAGGTGGGGGACGGGGAGAGAAACTTTGATCGGATGCTTCCCCTATGTGCCCTGACTGGGAATCGAACCCTCTCCTTTTTGGTGTATGGGATGATGCTCCAACCAACAGGGCCACCTGGCCAGGGTGCTCCCTTCCAAACTCTTATCTAGGCCCACGTTGATGGTGACCGTCTCCAGGATGGGTGGCCACCCTTATCCCTTGCCATTCTCCGCATTCCAGACTTCAGCTTCCTTTCCCTTTCTTGAAAACACCATATTCTCCCTCTCTAGCTGCTGGCTCTGCTATCTATGGGACTCAGTATTTCCTGCCCCCCTCCCAAGTGCCCATTCATACTTCAGGTTTCTGTGTAGATGTTCCTCCTCCAGAAGTTTTCTGCGGATCCACCAATCAGCCCCCGTCTTACCTGGCCTAGTGAGGTTCTCCACTGCTGGGTCCCATGGCACCTGTATTGTTACCATCATGGCACAGACTTTTCTGGAATGGGCTATACATGCCCGATTTATCCACCAGACTGGAAGTGCCCTGAAGGCAGGGACCAAGCTCAAGGCCCAGCGCAGGGTCTGGCGTGGGAGAAATTTGCACCTTCCTGTTGACCACATCCTATGGCTAAGGACTTCATGGGAGGGGAGGAGATGGTGCCATTGTATAGACTACAGGTGCTGGCGTGGCCCAGTTGGACATCTTTCCGAGCATCTGGACAGAGCTTTTTAATCTAAACTGCACTGTCCAATATGGTAGTCACTAGCCCCATGTATTGTTAACTTTTAAATATATTTAATTAAAATGAAATAAAACTCACTTCCTCAGTCTCACCAGCCAATTTCAGGCGCTCAGTATCCACATGGGCCCAGTGGCTGCTAGAGCGCTTCCAGGGACCCAGGAAGAACGTTCATGTGGATGGGGCTGCTGCGGACACTGCCTTGTGAAGGCATTAATTGAGGTGCTTGTAGGCTGTGTGAAGTCCATCCTTGGTGTTTCTGGTGAGGTCAGGCAGATTTTTGCAGATTCCTTCTTAAGCCTGAACTGTGTCTCCTCACTATCCCCTGGCTGCAGGATGCGCGTCAGAAGTTCCGCTCTGTTCTGGTTGAAGCAACGGTGAAACTGGACGAACTGGTGAAGAAGATCGGCAAAGCTGTGGAAGACTCGAAGCCCTACTGGGAGGCGCGGAGGGTAGCGAGGCAGGTAAGATAGCCCTGCAGGTCATCACGGCGCCTCTGCCCCCCATCCCCGCAGGTGCTTGGCTCTGCCTTCTGACTTCCCTGTCTCCCTGAAGGCTGGAAACGCCAGTCTAGTGTGATGGAGAGCGGCTGTGACTTTGTAAACAGCTGCGTTTGTAGTCAGCCTCTCATCACCCCCCACCCCCACAGCTTGCCTTCATTCCAGCTCTTGGTACTATTCATAGAGGCTGGGTGCTGGCATTTGGGTGGCCCTGTGAGTGGGCGCCGCTTTGCCGCCGGAGTTGGCGCCCAGGTCCACTTCCCAGGCAGCTGGGCCAACTCAGGAGGATGAGAGGATGTGTCCTGAACACCAGGCTTATTTCTCTGCCCCTCCTAATGATCGCTTGTCAGGCAGCAGGAACACTCCATCCCTCTCATTCTCCTCCCTAGTGTGGGAGGAATTAGCTGTTTGCTTCTCTTGAAACGTCAGTTCTTTCCCGTGAGAGCCCAAATAGGCAACTGAGGCACCACGATGAGAAAAGGGGCAGCAGAGGAGGGGGCCTGCGGTCACGCGATTGCTGGGGTTGCATGGAAGCCGGTGCTCAGTTCAGAGTTTGTCTTCCTTGACGGCCACCGCTGTGTGCCTGTGTCGCCTCTCGGCCTCCATGGCCAGGCATGTGAAAGGGGAAGGAAAAGAGCCCTGACACTTACTAGTCCGAGGCTGCTGCTCCTTCCTCTCATCCCGTGGCTCGGTTGGTGAGCATGACAATTACTGAATCCCTGGGCAAGCCACTGAGTCATCAGGTCTAATCAGGTAACAGCCAGACCCTTAGGGGCCTGTGGCTGACTCATTGTCAACTGGCAGAGCTCAAGATGGGCGCTGAGGGACCCCTGCGCGGCTTTGTGCCTGCAAACCCTTCCCTTAAACTCCTGCCTTTTTGCAGATGGGGCAGGAAGAAGGGCGAAGAAGGCTCAGAGTGACCCTGCCCCTCAACCCCGAGAGACCTTGTTGGTCTGTAGCCGCGGAACTGGGAAAACATTCAAAGGCTGAGGCCGGGCTGGATGTCACATTTCATCTCCGTGGATGGGGGCTGTCTGGGCTTGGGCCAGGTGGCCGAGCGTGTCTCTGCACCAGCGTCCTCTGACCTTCCTGATGGTGAAGGGGTGGGGCCCACCGCCAGCTGCTGCCCAGGGGGCTTCCTGTTTTCTTCCTCTGGCCTTAACTCCGCCCCCTTCCTTTCTGTATTTACAAACCCCTCTGACTGTGCAGATAGAGCAGGGGTGGTCTCTGAGAGATGCCTTCAAGTACGTGTCGTGAGGCACTGTGTTCCCAGAGTCTCAGCATCCTTGTCCATGAAATTTTTATGGTCACAGATCGGCCATGGCGCTCTCACGAGGTCATCCTTAGGACTTAAATGAGATCGTGCTTAACCACAGAATCCCTGCATGAGCTTAGGTTTTGGCTTCATTAAAAAAAAAAAATTTATTGTAGGAAATGTCGAAAATAGATGATAAGAAGAAAAGTCTCATACCTTCTGATTATACTGTAGTGGTGGCTTTATTATATGCCTGGAATGGCCGTGTTCACGCATCCCGAGGCGCAACAGGACAGTGGAGACTTAACAAAGGGGAAAACTTCTACAGCTTGGTTTTCTGTAGAGTTCACAAAGATTTGTCATTTCCCTGTAGAAATTCTGTCTGCCTGTCGAAATTTGCATTAACTTTACTGTTCCTGGTGTCAACTCATTTTCCTACTAATGAGTCAGATCCAAGTCCTGGGATTTTGAAATCCAGTCCAGATTCTGCCAGGAGAGGTAGAAGATGTCTGCTTTTCCTTTTCTGGGAGGAGGTGGGGGCAAGGACTTGGCTTTGATTTATTTGAGGTTTTTTCCCTTGAGCCAGAGCTTGTTTTTAAGATGGCTTTGACATATCTGTCCGCCCATCTGGCCTTCAGTGTGTGACCGGGACATTCTGACAAGGGGGCGGGGCCATGTGACTCAGGAAACCTGAATGGTGGAGTGTTTCTTGCTTATTTTGCTTCCTGGGTTCTCTCTGGTCTAACAGTGGCCCTGGACCTACCATTTTATCACTACCAGTCCCTACCCTTGTAATCATTTTTTCTTTTTTTTTTAATTGTGGTAAACTATGTAAGATTTGCCATTTTTAAGTGTACAACTCAGTGGTATTAAGTACGTTCATATTGTTGTGTAACACTTACCACCATCTGTCTCTAGAACTTTTTCACTTTCCTAAATTGAAACTCAGTACTCATTAAATAATAACTTCCTCTTTCTTCTTTCCCTGAGCCCATCGCAACCACTATTCTAGTTTCTGACTATGAGTTTGACTACTCTGGGCCTCTCTATATGTGGAATCATGCACTATTTGTCTTGTTGTGACTGGTTTATTTCACTTAGCATTATGTCTTCCAGGTTTATCCATGTCATAGCATATGTTAGAATTTCACTCCTTTTTCAGGCTGAATAATATCCCACCGTATATAGAGACCACATTTTGTTTATTCATTCATCTTTAAATGGACATTTGGGCAACTCTTGCTATTTTTAAATCGTTGGAATGTGTGAGGAGAGAGCAGAGTGCTTTGCAAACCTGGAGGGCAGCATAAATGCAAAATAATAAGTGTTATTCAGTGCTGAAAGGTGCCTGTTTGGTGTTTATGGGCCATGTGAGTTCATGTCCTATACTTAACCTCTTTGGGGAAGTGAGGGAGGGAAGAGACATTGGAAACTTGCAGAATGACGCAACTGCGGGACAAGCAGCAAAGCCGAGCCCCTGGAGGCAGGCTGCCTGTAATTCGCCATGCAGTAGCCATGGACCTAAACAGGTTGCTTAATCTCTGTGCCTCAATTTCTTCATCTGTAAAGTGGAGCTGTGTATCAGTTCTAGCTTCTGCTATGAAACAAACCACTCCAAATTTAGGGGCTTAAAGCACTTAGTTAGCTCATTATTTTGTTGGGCAGTTTTCCTGATCTCAGGCATGGCTGATCTCCTGTATATACAATCAGCTGGTGGGTTGGATGGAGGCTGGCTGATCTTGGATGGTGCTATCTGTCAAGCAGTTGGCTGGTTGTCAGCTGGATCTCATGTGTCTCACCCAGCAGGCTAGCATGACTTCTTCACATGGTGCTGGGATTCCAGGAACAAAAGGGCAAGCCCTTTCCAGGCCTCTGTTTGCATCACATTTGTTTTTGTTTTTGTTTTGTTTTGTTTTCTAAGATTTTATTTATTTATTTTTAGAGAAAGGGGGAAGGGAAGGATATAGACAGGGAGAGAAACATGGATGTGTGGGATAGAAACATCAATGTGTGGTTGCTTCTTGTACGCCCCTAACCTGGGACCTTGCCTGCAACCCAGGCATATGCCCTGACTGGGAATTAAACCAGCGACCTTTCAGTTCTCAGGCCAGTGCTCAGCCTACTGAGCCACACCAGCCAGAGCCACATTTGCCCTGTTGGTTAGAGTAAGTCATACAGCCAGTTCAAATTCAAGAGGTGGGAAACAATAAGCTCTGCCCACAAAGTATTATGGCCATTTTTACAATATACCATAGTATTAAATTAGTACATGAAAAGTGTTTGGGTCAAAGAAAAAGAATGTAAGTTATTATTAGTGCAGATGTATTTTATGTCAAATATTATATCTCTGTATTGAATCTGCTGTGTTAAAAAAAATAACAATAAAAACCTATGGGTAGAAGAAACAGACCTCTGCTGGCTGGGAGGGCATATGGAAGGTGGAGAGACTGTGAGGGCAGAAAGGCAGGTTGAGTGCACATGGAGCTGCTTGTGAGCATAAAATGTGTCAGAGAATCAAAAACGATGAGGACGAGATAGCTGATTTACCTTTTGACCGATCAAAAGCATTCTAAGCCCAAACAGATAACATGGTGAGGGCCTCAAATGGATGGGGAGTCATGTTTCTCATGACATGAAACAGGCCAAGTGCATCACATAATCCCCTGAATTCTTATGTTAATCGTAGAGGAACAGAGTGTTGTAGTCTTCCTTTGCTGGGAAATTCTAGACACCAATTTTGTTTGCAGTCGACCCTCCCTAAGAGGAGGATGAGAGGCCCAGGTTCTGCAAAGGTGGGTTATCACCCTCGTTACTTGTCTAGGGATGTTTTTCCTCCTCGATTTATTATTTTCTTTCGTTTAACAAACTTTTCCTGGGTTCCTACTAATGGTCATTCACTGTTTTAGTCACTTGTCAAGAACAGGACAAAGACCCTGATTCTGCAGGGGTGATGCTCCTCCCTTCCCAGTCTTACAAAAGTGTGTGGCATGGGGTGTTGTGCGCAAAAGTAGAATCTTTGTTACTGATCTGGATGAAAGGGTGGGCTTTTACCTCCTCCATTTGAGAAATGGAGTGAGACTGTGAGAGGGCTAGGGATTGGCATATAGAAGTGTCTCAGCGTATTTCCTGAGCAACCCCCTTTGTTTGTGCTGGCCATGGTGGACATGAAGTGTGGTTTTTATCCTCCAGGAGCAATACGTATATACGTAAGCAGGGTAGTTTTAGGGTGATTACACAGTCCATGGTCATTATTTGTGATGGGTGTCTGAAGTCACTGCCAGCACAGAATGAGAGAGGCTTTCTACTGAGGCGATGCTCCTAGTGGGAGTAGAGGGTCAGGTTCCTAAGAGCCCCTGGTCACATTTTCATCAACCCAACCACACATAACCTTGTTTTATGTATGTTTCTGTTTAAAGAACACCTTATTTAATATATATTTCTTATAAATAATTAACTATATATAGTATTTCTTAATAGGGCATGTCAAACATTTTCCTGGTCCTGGGTGACATGCCCGTAAATTTCTTTGTCTTTCAGCCTCACAGTGTTCTCCACTACGTTTTTGTAATTGGTTACAACCTCTCGGGCATCGATGCCAAACAGAGTCCACAAATTCACTATTTTTTATAGTTTCATCATGTACTGTAGACTTTATTTTAGCCTTTACTGGAGCAGCCCCTAGAACGGATCTGCAAATTTCCTCTTCCTT